GGAGTCTCAAGTGGACAAAGTTGTTGCCAACGTAGCTCAGAAGATTGGTGCATCGTGGTGTAGGTGAGCACATAACTAGGACTTCCCAGCGCCTATTTGTCCAGGCTGCGATACTATGTGACATGCTGTACTGCACATTCTTTTCAGCACTGCAAGGCCGGCAGCTGGACCGACTGCAGGGGCCGTGCACATGCAGGCCGCCTGTTGCCAGTGCAGCATTCTGGAACGTTCCTTCCTTCTGAGATCCGTGGAATAATAACTTTCTTTGCTTCAAAGCAAGTTGCTTACCTTTCTGTTGTGCTCCCAGTGTCCTTACAACAATAACCTACAGCAATGTTTTTATTTTCCTTTCCATTCCCCAACCAATGAATACTACAATGTCGATTCTACTTCTGAATACTTTAGTGTGTGCCCGCGCACGCACGTGTGTGTGTGTGTATACCTCACTCGCCACTCGAAGTTCTGTTCCCCATCACTGGAACACTGCCTGTTCTTTCAGGATCTGCCATCATCTGCGGATGGGCATTCAATGATTGTATTGTGTGTGTGTGTGTGTTTCATTCAGAATCAGATCCGCTATCGTTGCTATAAGAAAAAAATCTGTGGGTTCACATCCAATGCATTTGTAGATTTGCGTGCTTTTCTCGCCACGAGCGCATACATGGGACATTGTGTGTGTGTGTGTGTGTGTGTGTGTGTGCGTTTGTGTGTATGTGGATATTGTCTGTATCGGCTTTTGGTACTAATGTTCAGGTCTGTGCTTGCATGTGTGAACATGAAATTGTTCGGTTCTGTGCATGCTATTGCTATGTTGTATATTATTGTATGTATGTGTGCATTTCCACGAACAGTGAAGATGAGCGTGGAGAGTGCATTCATCCCTCATCAACCACTTCCCCTTGGGCTTACGAGAGTTTTTTCTGCGTACCTCTCATTTTTGTTTGTTTCTCTCTGATACTGTATTGATGCCGGTACCTGTACCTCGATGCGTTCCTCTATCTGCAGTCGCCTTTAACCTTCGGTCAAGTTAACGTTTATTGTGCTCTATTTATCGTGCGAATCAAAATAAACAATAATAACACAAGTCGTGCTAGAGTGACGACATGTGCGTGTAGTTGGGTTGATGCGATGGAACGTTATAATTAGGTGGAACAGAACACACATTGGGCAGTTTGATTGGGCATCATTGATTGTGCTCAGTCTAAACAGTGAACATAATAATTATCTCCAGTGACAGACTGTAGCGGCTAGCCTCCAATAGGTAGCTGGCACTAGTCGCTACTGCTTGTTTGACAGGTGCCACCAGAACCCCTGTTGTGTCATGCTATAGATGCACATGCCCTATTCTGGGGCATACTGGGGTACTTTGATTTTGTTGACTGCATGTAGACAGCATCCAATAGTAGTACTCGTAGACATTGGCTCTTTGTAGGTCAACCACCATCGCATGGATCGATCACGGTGACTATGCACTTGGAGGTTGGAATAGCCCGCGCTGAACAGATATTGCCATGGCCCAGGGAGTGAACTCGCTTACTTGACTATCCCGGTTTTAGTTAACCAGCATGAGTGGTGCAATTTGTCCATACCATGTTGCGAGCTCACAGTTGTTTGGGCAAGTTTTGAGCTGCACCACGAAACAAAGCGAAATAACGGCGTGACTGTAGAGCAAGGAAGCGGCGAGACGGCACTTCCAGGACGAGACAGGCAGTAGAGATGTGTTCACAGCACGAGCAACCTCTCAAACCCTGCCGGTACTCCACAGTTACAAGAAAATGTCGGACTGGACGACGCGCCAATGCAAACCTGCTACATTCACCCAGGCAGATAGCTGCCAAACCAGGCCAATGTCGACCCACTGCATACCGATATGTCAATGTCAAACAGATCCTGCAGGAGAAGACTGGGATGATATTGGCGTCCAGTGTACGGACACCAGTCACATTTCCTGCGTCTTTTGCAGCATACAGGATAGACTCATCACTATAAAGTCCACTACTTCGTGATTTTTATTTGTAGAATACATGACAGGAGTATTCAGTGTGCCTCGCAGGACTGCGAGATGCTGCAGAAGACCAGGTTCGACCTTTCTGGACCGCCATTCACCGACGGTGGGCTACACGATGCTGGAGGAACTAGATTCCAGTGAAAACCCAAGATTCCTTTGCTCCTGGACGCTCCGACGTGTTGTGATATCTGCCAGGTGCGCAGTAACTAGTATTTTCATCGCTATAGCGAGGACGACGCCGATCGGCAAACTCTCGCTCACAGTCACAGCCATCACCAGCCTCTCAAAACCATCACTTGGCATCCCCCAGAGGTATAGGAGAAAGCCAAACCAGCTCTCAACAAACAAAAGCTAAGGACGATGGAAAGAGAGCATGTCAAAAAGAAGACGAACAGTATGAAGTTCAGGGCTCACAGTCCAATACAAAAGCGTGGAGTCGCGCACGGCTTTGCGCGGATGTCACGTGATGACAACTGACCAATCACAGGCCTCTATTCTCCTCTATTCTCAAATCTTTGATCTTGTCCACTACATCGGCCCTGATGTCCACGAAGCTGGGATTCGCTGTGCTGATTCAAAACCCCCAAACTCAGTGATCTACCGCAGCGTTTCACCATTTTCCCTCCAGTTTTCCGGCACGGATTAGCCAAAGTCTGGTCGTTTTGGCTTCGATTTCGGCACAGCAAACGGAAAAGTGATCGGTAAATGTCTGGAGAATTCCACGCTGAAAAAAATAAGCCATAGATGATCAAAATCCGCCAAGAATGAGATGTAGTGGACATTTTTGAGTGAGTGCCACTCAGCGCGCAGAACGCCAAAAGTGCAAAAGCAGCACCAGATCAAACAACAAGAAAAACGCATGCATGCAGCGGAACAGCAACGCGCGCCGTCCAACAGAAAATCATTGCGCACAGATTTTTCAGTGTTCTCTCCTCAGTTCGCCCGCGGAGTTGGTTGCTGTGCTTTCGTTCTCGCTGGAGTTCTTGTGGCAGCGCATTTCGCCATCATGGAGGAACTGGTACCTCTGGAAACCTGGCCTTTAGTGGCCCTCAACTAACGCCTGGCGGATTTGCTGGTCCCGTTCGCCTCCATCCGATCAGCAGCTCCGTGTTGTATGTTCTCGGCGTTACCTGCCTGGCGAGCTCTGACTCGTTTGTTTGTCTTCTTACCTGTGGAATATCGCGATCGCTCATTGTAGCATCAGCATTTGGTCGAACAGCGGCTACATGACATGAATTTCCTGGGACTAGCACAGGTTGCCTTTCGCCTTCTCCTTCGGTGGACCAATTCTACAAGGCACAGTGAAAGGCAAGTCGTTGCCGAGGGCTGGCAGTAACTGTTCAGTGTTGCAGTGCAATTCCCAGTGAAAATAATAAAGCAAACTATTTCCACTGGAGTATGCACGATCGTAAAAGCACAAGATCGAGACGAACGGAAACGAGAATGGTTTGACACTGCATGCCAAGAGAAGCGAGGAAAGGACAGGTCCGACCAAAATATCGCGAACATCGGCTCTATAGATCTACAAGACAAGAACAGGCTACTCAAGCCCAGGTTCTTTCTCTTTACTTCTTTGTTCTGTTGGGATGCGTAGGATGTACACGATCTGTGCTCTCGTGGGGTCACGCGACTCACGTGCACCAAACCCGCCCTCGCACGACGCTTTTGTCGATCCTGCATACCGACTGTGAGCCCTGAAGTTCAAATGGGTTTGAACACTCGTACCACCAACTATACCACTTTCAATAAAATTAATCGTGACGCCATTTTGTTTTAAAGGGGAAGTGCATCGATTTTTCGAGTATAGTCCAGAAGAAAGACAATTTGATATCGGTTCGAATGCCATATCTCTCGCTTCCATACGATAAGCCAAACTTGCCAAATCGCCAATTGTATACTCACGTTGCCATAGCGACCAGCGCAGTGATGACGTACGAAAGGCTTAGCTCCACCACAGAGAAGGTCGATCACTGCAGAATTTGGTCATTTTCAATTGGTTTATTGTATTCACGAAGTGAAAGAGAGGCTATGTTCAATGCTGTAAGTGCAGTGAACTGTTTGTTAGTAGTCCTCTCGGTTGTGTACTGGGACGTGACACCGACAGGAGAAAGCTGGAGCGCGGAGACACCAGCAGACAAGCGAAAATAGTGACGAACAAAATGCTGAAATCTTGGTTGGGACAAATCAGACGTTCAGCATTTCCCCCAACCAAGGACCATGCCGTTTGCTCTTTCCACTTCCTGAAGATGAATGTGATGCTTCCTGGCGACTCTCCTATCTCTCGTAATATCTTCTGAAGCCAGGTGAGACGACGGGTGGTGGAGATTGACGAATGAAATAATGTCGTAGGTTTGAAAGTTTGCTGAAAATGTCTCAGGAGAGACGGCGAATTCCAAGCATCTTGTCCTGGAGGAAACCATTTCCTAGGCACAGTCAGCCTAGGGAAATGCATGAGAAGGGCGACAAATAGTTCACGGCACTAACAGCATTGAACACAGCACTTCTTTCACATCGTGAATACAATAAGACAATTGAAAATGACCAATTATTTATGCAGTGATCGACCTTCTCTGTGGAGGAGCCAAGCCTTTCGTACGTCATCACTGCGCTGGTCGCTATGGCAACGTGAGCATACAATTGGCGATTTGGCAAGTTTGGCTTATCGTATGGAAACGAGAGATATGCCATTCGAACCGATGTCAAAATTAATTGTCTTTCTTCTGGACCCTACTCGAAAAATCGATGCACTTCCCCTTTAAAGGGGCACTCCGGCTTCATTTTCGACGCCGAGTTTTCGATGCCAAGACGAAGGTAGGTGAAAGAGAAGACCCCTCGAACAAGAACGAGTTTCCAGAAGCGATCGAGTCGAGCAGGAAGACGACTTTTGAATTTCGGCCGAGCGAGCGCTGATGACGTAATGAGGGATTAGCTTGCCAGTGGAAATCTGCGCACATACATTTCACACACTTTTTGGCCAATTTTCAATCGAAAAAGAGGTTGTTTGCTATGTTCTCCCAACGCCGTGAGCGATCCCGTCTTCTATACCCTTCCAGGTACCCTGAAGGTCCTCCAGAGGAGAATTTATCTCCATCAAAGCGTTGTTGATCCGCTAAATTCGTCTCGAGACATATTCACCCAGTGCAGTGCTGATAAATGTAGAATGTTGAATCTGTGATAATTGTCGACGATGGAGAGAAAGGCTGATAGCCGCTGTCGCAGGGAGAGTGAAGCTGCTGGAAGTAACAACAGGGAGCCCGTTTGTATCACCTGAACAACCAGACTTCAAAGCAGCTTGACCAAATCGGAGGGTGCCTCGTTGCTTATCGTGAATATTACACCGACATGAATTACTACAAGTATACTGGTGAGTTTTTATCTTGTTTTGTTCGTATGCTAGTACCCTGGCCTGGAGTTCTCGTTAGCAAATTCCTATTCCCTGGCGTTTTCTAAACATTCCGTGTAGGACTGAATACGTGATCAAGTATTCCGATTTGGGTAGATGTGGAATTTGGACATGTATTTTTATTAAAAAAATTATTTTCCAAATAGAGCGTTTGTAGAGAAATGGTTGCCCAAATACAACAAAATTTATTCTGCAGTTCTACAACTAACTTGTACTGAAATCCAGTCGAAGTAAAAATGATTCTTCATGACAGTTGGGGTCAATGAAATCTGATCCAGGCATAACGAATGGTGACGCCTGCCACCCCGGGAACGAATGCCCATTTGGTGGGGGATACCAAAGTACTCGAAAGTAGTGCGTGTTTCAATGTGGCATGGAAGTTTTATATGATCTCTGGTCAATGCAACATACGATAGCCATCATGAATTGCAGGCCTCGAACGCAACTCCGACCAGAATTGGCAGTTCCCTAAGTTAGATGCTTTATAATTCCATGGCCCCAGCTGTAGTTATAGAGGGTTTTTGCACATTATTCTTATAGTCGATAGGTTTATACTGATGGCCACAAACAACGGCAGTTCAAACTTCACTGATGTGTTCATGAGCTGAGAGATTTCTCTCCACTATTTCTGTTGTGCACACAGGTCTGTCCAATATGCATTGACCGTATTGGGTATGGTACCTGCTCTGAGAAGGGAATCGCTGGAGCCGCAGTCCAACTATACAGGCTTTCAAGAAACAGAGAGGAGCCATCTTTGCAAGCTGATACCTGATGTGTACCGACAGAATTCTCACGAGATAGCTTACAGACTACGCCTGGTGTATACTTCATAGTACTCCTTCGACTACTGTCTAGAATCAAGTCGACTGAAGCAAGTTCAAACAACTCTGGCTTCAAACGAGCCATCGATTAGACAAACAAAACATTCTCTCATATACTAGAGCACTCTGACAACTCACGACCTATTCCTAACGATTGCCACCGCTTATAAATATGTAGAGTACTGATTGGAATGTGCTCACAATCTCAACAATCCAGTGCTATAATTATTTGAACTATGTGTTCCTTCCATAAATGTTGTATCCACATATAATCCACAGTGCTGCAAAGTTTCAGAGTTCTCAGAGTATCAAACAAAATTATTTCAAATACAGTGAAATAGTTCGTGGACATTATAGCGTAACTTGTAGTTCCCTGGTCCTTTTCTTCGCTATAAATTAATCCTTTGCTCTCTAGCCACCGGCGAGTCCAACAGTGAAATTGTTAGTTCATATTTATGTGGGTATGTGGGGGGGGGGGGGGGGGACATATTTCTATATAAGGGACCTGCAACTGTAATACCACAGTACAGTAGATAGCAAATATGTAGAAAACAAAAATGCATGTTCCCATCATTGTACATGGACGGGCGCAGCAGGCCGAAGCTATCAGCCAGAACAGGATTTACAATCGCCTAGAGATACTTGAGCTATTCCAGTATTCTCCGTGAGCTGTCCCATTCCACAATGGTTAATGCCACCATTATTTCTGGTAGTATCCATGTGCATAATTCCAAGAACATCTCGGATTTTTCAGCAATTTGTGCCACGGCAAAAGACAACGCTTGACTCGGTCACTGGGGCTGTCAAACTTCGCATCACAAATGAACTTCAATTTCTCATCTGGTTCAAGTATATGTACTGCCATGACTTGACCATGCTTCATCCACAGCTGGGCGAAGATTGTGGCGTTGAATTCCATAGCGCACCTTCTTGCTGCCATGCAGGAATATGTTGAGAGAAGTGAACATATTTTTACTAAAAAAAACAACAGCCACTGAAGAGGATAACATTAGCAATAGCCTTGGGTGAATTTCCTGCAGGTACACGTTGTTGGTAGGTCTACTGGTCGGTCTCCATATCGTCAAGTTCAGAAATCACCTGTACTACACATCTTGTAGAAGGGATCCTGATCGAAAATTTTTCTGATCATAAAATTCACTAAGCTGAGGGCGAGACAAATACAGGTCGTCCCCCGTTAATACGAGTCCGGTTAGTACATAAACCCCGTTAGTACATAAGAAATCTCAAGTCCCGGACGAAACGTGGTCACTTCCATACAAATTTTGTCGGTTAGTACATAATCCGTTAGTACATAAACCCCGTTAGTACATAACATTTCTCCGTACCCGCATGCCACCTACCTCAATAGTACATAATTTGTTGGTCTTTTGGCCTTCGAGTGGAGGCACATCGTGTTCTAGTTTCTACTTGTGGACGCAAGTAGCTCAGAAATCAGAGCGCAAATCACAAACCGACAAGGTTCTGTGTTTTCCGAGTGACTGTACAGGCGCGGCTGGACATGTATCAGGTACAACTGTAGAATCTTCGCTGACTGTGACCGTTATAACATAATTTTTATGTTATAGCGAGGGAATCAAGAATATCTCGCTCCCTAGTCATGGTAGCAAGAAACACTCAGAACAGTTGAAAAAAGTGAAAAATTCTGGTACATAAGCAAGTTATGTACACTTTCGTTTAGTACATAAACCCCGTTAATACATAACATTTCTCAAGTCCCAGAGATTATGTATTAACGAGGGACGACCTGTAGTCAGTACTCCCCGATTCCGTCTAGCTGCTTTGATCAAGTGATGCTAACAAGCTCCCCGTTGTTACTTCCAGCAGCTTCACTTTCCCTGCGATAGCGGCTATCAACCTTTCTGTCCATCGTCGACAATTATCACAGATTCAACATTCTACATTTGTCAGCACTGCACTGGGTGAATATGTCTCGAGACGAATTTAGCGGATCAACAACGCTTTGCTGGAGATAAATTCTCCTCTGGAGGACCTTCAGGGTACCTGGAAGGGTATAGAAGACGGGATCGCTCACGACGTTGAGAGAACATAGAAAACAACCTCCTCTTCGATTGAAAATTGGCCAAAAAGTATGTGAAATGTATGTGCGCAGATGCATTTCCACTGGCAAGCTAATCCCTCATTACGTCATCAGCGCTCGCTCGGCCGAAATTCAAAAGTCGTCTTCCTGCTCGACTCGATCGCTTCTGGAGACTCGTTCTTGTTCGAGGGGTCTTCTCTTTCACCAACCTTCGTCTTGGCATCGAAAACTCGGCGTCGAAAATGAAGCCGGAGTGCCCCTTTAACATACAATGGCTAAATATTTTTCTCGCAATAATGACCGTATTCACCACAAGTGTGTTTATGTCCAGAGCCAACTCAAGTCCTGTATTATTTATCACCATGACAACAAGACTTCCGGGCTGAAATTCTTCTATGACAGGCATGAACACTTGCCTTACAATTGTTCGTGATTGTACGAAGTACATATTCGCTGTTGCATCAATTTTGCACCATTTACATTGTAGTGCCACTAGTGGTATCACCTGCATGCGTATTGAGTCAAACAAGGTTACCTCTGTATAATTATGCTTATCGTGGCTATCAAGAGCTTCGATGCAAATTCCCAGCTGACGAATGGTGTCCAGCTTGTGTTCAGCTCAGCTGGCACTCACA